TTAACTGATTTATGCATGTTGTAGAAAAAAACAAGAACATCTCATAAGCTTGTATCAATGACATATCTTATTTCAAGCATCTAACCTAAAACGCCTTCAAGAAACAATTGACCTCAAGACGAGAGAACCCAAAAGTGCTAAACTAATTTTCTTTTAGAACTCAGGCTGACCAGCTGCTGACCTCTTTGAAGAACCAGGCGACGAGGGAGCCCAGGATGAGGGAGTCATTGGCCTCCCGGTCGTTGTAGGGCAGGCCGATCTGGCAGGTCTCCCACAGGTCCCCCTTCCAGCGGTCCAGGTTCCAGGCCGCAGAGCCAACATCAAACAGGATCACAAAGGGGCTGCCCTCGATCAGCCAGCGGCCAAAATGAACCTGCAGCATCAACAACATTGATATATTGTGATTTTAAGGGTGTCTATTATCATCTGGCCGGGGACAACAGCTGGAAATTAGCCATGTTGGCTAGAGCTGCCCCATTTACAGTTTTTTGTGACAGTTGATTGGGGACTGTTCACGACACTATAAACAAATAAACTAAAACTAAACATCGGTAATGGAAGCTCAGAGAAAGAGGTACACTCTACAACTGTTACTAAGCTTAACCTTCAAAACATTTGGCTTGAGTTTCAAAGCCTTTTATTGCATTTAAATTGTCTATTGTTTTTTTTGTTTTTTAACTTGTACTTGTTTTACGGTGTGTGAGCTGTGCTGTGTGATTTTGTGTATGTTTATTTGACTGTACAGCACTTTGGTCTGGAGGTTTTAAAGTGCTTTATAAATAAAGCTGTATTGTATTAAATATCTGACAAGTATGTAATCATATAGTTGCTGGTCTTTATTGACGAGCCAATCAACATAGAAATGGTGCAGAGCAGTGATTTATTTATTTTTTAAATGAAGCTACAGGTACACAGTGCAGTCCTGCTCAAGGATACTTTGAGTTTGGGCCACAAATCCTACGATTAACGGCTTTCCTACTTATGTCTCCACTATAGACATAAGACATTTCAATTTGTGTAACACACAGTCACCTGGCAGCCGTTGTGGATGAGGGCGTCCATGGCCTTCCTGACGGCGGGGTTGGGGGGCTCGCAGGCCTCCACCTGTGTCTTGAAGTTGTGTTCGTAGTAGGGCCCCATCATGTAGTAGTTCTCCCCCCATTCATCCACCGTGATCTTGGCTTTGGTCTGGAGCACTGTGTAGATTCCTCCAACTTCAAATTGAAAAAGAAAGCATGTTTTTTAAACTTTTTCTCAACCTTCAAATATTAACAGACGAAGGTCACTCAGGTTTATCTTTGGAACCCTGTTTTTCCTCAACATACTAATAGAGGTCAAAGCTCCTATGGCCTCCAAGATGTGTTTGCAACCACATCTTTTTTATGGCAGTTCAAGTCACGTGTGCATATTGTTATTCATGGTTATGATGCTTTAGTGAACTTACCATGTTGATCCCTTTGAAGTCAAACAGATCAGGTTCATAGTCTGACTCGTCAAATGTTTTTGCACGTTTCTGATGTTGTGTTACTGTTCAGGTATAGGCTGGTAAATATGATACGGTCACATTTATAAAGAAAGTGCACTTTTATTCAAAAACCTAAATTCTACATCAATCATAAATATTTAATGCAAATGTTTTCATGTTCATAAAGCCCTGATTATTCCGATTAAAGGCAAGTGAAATGGGCCAAATATCCATATTTGTAGTTATTAAGAGACTTGAAGAGGCACATGTGTTCCAAGGCAAAAATGAATTTCAGAACTTTTATGCAGTTGACTTCTCTGTTAGTTTTGGCTCTTGTAAGTCAGAGGAATTATTTGTTTTGATGTGTTGAAATAGTCTTTTATTCAAACAGAAATTCTCAAATTGGTCTTTAGTAATCCTGAGGTTGATATTTAGTTTAGTTTATCAAACAAACAAAGAAGTATTTATTTTGTAATAGGCCAAACAAATCTGGCAATGATTTTTTTCCAGACTCAAAGGTGTCAAGATATAAACATCTTCAAACATCAGTGAAGTAAAAACGTTTTGCAGGAAATAAGGAACTGGTATTTGGTCGAGAATAATATTAAGATATATATTGAGGAATAAACATCACACATGGATGATTGTTAATATTGTTGAATTAATCTGATATGGTGTTTGTGTAAAGTATGTTTGTATTTGGCCGTATTCAAGAGTATCACATGGGGTAAAAAACTAAATGTGAAGTTACTGTTGGACCGTTTCCACACCAGATTTCAGCCTGAGTTGAATGTTACACATGTTGCAAAACCTCCACATTACCCAAAGTACAGAGATCATGACCCCCGCATCAGTAGTATGGCAGAAAGTCAAGTCAAGCTACATGTGATCATTTATAAATTGTTACGCCAGGAATGTATTCATCCAGTTTATTTACTGTAAAAGGTATTTTTTTGTTCATGTTTTGTTCTTTCATTTTCTCACATGTATACATCAGGAGTTTTAAACGGCCAACATATTAGCCAAGCGGTTCCTCTTTCAGCACTTATCTGCAGGTCAATGTTTAACTTTTTAGAGTGAACAGCCTCTGTCAATGCTCATTGTATTTCACTATTTGCTCTTTAAAAGGGTAAAGAGGCACAGATTTACACAACATATTACCAATTGCCAGACTCTCAAAGTGCTAAAATGAAGTTCCACTACATTTTCTGTATTGGCTTTGATTCCAAAATACTTTGTTTAAATACTTGAAATTAAAAGGTTGTGCATGTCTAAATAAATCCATATTTTCACTGTATAAATTGCAATTTTTTGGATGAAGGCCTTCTACACTTGGAATCATGCATGAATTCAGACATGTCATTTATTTCGAGTTATTAAAGCACCATTTCACGTGATCTGACCTTTGTTGGTGACCTCCCAGGCCACCTCAAAGAGCAGCAAGTCCTCCACAGGCAGCTCCTCTTCCTCCCAGGCCGGCAGCACCCCGCTCAGGGACGTCATGGACAGGGAACGAGACAGCGGCATCTTCAAATGTCCCGAGGTCCGACAGACACCGTCAAAATGTTGCTGCAGTCTGTGAAGAAAGGCTTTTAACAGGCCTGCAGGTGGAGGTCCTGGGATCAACTGTGACAATCCTCCAGGACAAGACAAGAGGGACTAACCGAGCTTCTACTCCGCCTACCAACGCTATGGTTCAGCCAGCAGGAGGTGACGTTCAACACACAAACAAACTCTCAAAAATGATTGAGAAATGTTGATGAATGAAAGCAGGTCTCTCTACTAGGAAAGAAAGATAGCAACAGATGTAGGAATGTTCCCAATCCTGCATTGTATTATCATTACCAGAATGTTTGCTACTTTACTTCTTTAGTTAATTTTTTTTATTCACTTAGATTATTTGAAAGGGACATTAGATCTTCCGTTGCAAACTGAAAACCCACTTGTTCCAAGTGCACCTTGGGCATTATATATATAAATATATATATATTCTTAGAATATTTAGGTCGATTGAGACCAATGCACCAGCACTTATAACGGTATTGCTTATTTAAAGAAAATGTACTTGTAGGTGTCTTGACTTTCTGAGTTCAAGGTTAATTGCACTTATTCTAAATTGCTTTGGATTAACGCTAAGTGAAATGTAATACTCAATATAATACTTGTTACCCAACATTGCAGGTCTCCCTTGAAAAAGAGATCATTGATCTCAATGGGATTTTACCTGGATAAATAAAGGTTTTTGAATTAAAAGCTGTACATGTAAAAACTGTACATAAGCCAATAACAACCGGAAAAAAATGATGATTATCCCTGTCCAATTGTTAAAAAGACGCCCTTCAAATAAAATAAAATGACATGGGATATGAAATGATAATAAATATTTGACTTTTCAATGTAGTTATGGTCAAGAAACCTAAGTAGAGCGAGGACGACTTTCCAGTTGCATGTTTTGCTGAATTACTGCTTGCAGCTGCAGTCCTATGGAGCCCTCTGGCTTGTGATATGTGTAATGCAACAATGTATACTATACTAAGTCTTTGTCGTTTTTCTAATATTTTCTACTTTTTAGACATACAATACCATATCATTTTTTTCATATTTGCACTATGTTGTTTTTTGTGACATTTTCAACATACTATTTTTTATACTATACTATATAGTATGTCAAAAAAACAACACACAGTATACAGTATGTCAATAAATTCGAAAAGAGCGGTATAATATAGTACGTCAAAAATATCCAAAGAAACTGCATACTTTGAAAATAACGACATTGTATATATAGTATATATTGTTAGAATAAACAACATAGTATAATAAGTCGAAAAACTTGAAAAACGACGTAGTATTGTATGTCGACAAATAAACAAAAACAACATAGTATATAGTATGTCTAAAAATGTAAAAAAACCACATAGTGTATGTTGAAACATCTTTAAAAAACAACATAATTGTAGTCTATGGCATAAATGCCAATGTGTTTAATGCACAACAAATTGGTAACTGGTGTAGGCTACATGGATTTCCAGACTTACGTCACAGGGAATAAAAAACAGTTTCAATAAATTGTTTCCAACTATTGTAAGTCACTTTGGATAAAAGCCTCAGCTCAATATAATCAAATGTAATGTAACAACTCAGTGCAACATACTGCTGCCTCTTTATGCATCACTGTATCCAAACTGGAACCTGAATTGTGCAATTACGCGTCCTGACTTTTGAGCCTTGGTTCCGTCAATTATTTAATTTTAAAATGTTTACGAAATTGCCATTTTTCAGCACGCAGGAACATATTATTTTGAACTGGATGAAGGATCCAGAAGCGAACAGAGCTGACAACCATTTCCCAGAAGAGCTGATGTGGGACACATTTCAGCAGCAGCTCCGCAATTTACAGCAGGGATGCCACTGTGATTGGCTGTGAGCTTTAAGTGCAAGAGGTCACCGTGAGAAAATATAAAGCAGGTCTGATGAGTAGGTGAGCATTGACACTTTTTATCTGAACTGCTCGGAACCCAGATTCTGCCCCAACATGAGACTTGTGGCTCTGGCTGTGGTGTGCGGGCTCATTGTGGCTCAGGAGGGACGAAGTGTGGACACAGCTCTGACGGGATTTGACTCTTCACAGAGGACACGCACAACAGGTGGGAAACCTAATGAAATTAAACCAAAACAAAGGCTTTGACTTAAAATGTCCTTCACGGGTAGAGCCCATTTTAGTAGTCAACTTTGCAAAGACAACATATAATCATCTTAAATCTAATAACACTTACTCAATAGTCAATGAAGTAGGCCTCTTTAAAATCAGCTCTACCTACCAACAAGGAAAAAAGGGAAATATATTTTTAAATAATGTACGTTGGTTTTTCTTTTTTTAGAGCTTTTAGATTATGATTCCTGCAAAAGGGGAAATGATTGATAGTTACCGTAACCTCTACCTTGATATTATATCCAATGTTTTTTGCTTACTTTGTTGTTGTTACACCCTATATTTCAGTGTATTGTTATTAGTTTAATGTAACCTAATTACTATTAACATGTAAATATGCTTTGGGAATGTAAATAGTGTTGTCATGACAAAATAGCCATTTAAACTTAATAATAATAATGATAATATAACTTTTAAGCAAGTCATTTTACAAATAGGCCCTTCTTAAATGCAGAACTTTTTATTTTAATCTCAGGCTTAAAGTCTGGATTTGAATATTTAGAAATGTATGTTGAGAACTAAGACAATATAGAAAATATAGTTGAAGGCTACCTGAACAATTATAAAAAAGGTATACTTGTGGGTTATCTGTCGCCACTTTTTAAATAGCGGGTAGCTGGCTCCTCCGCATGAATTTTTGTATTTCTCAAAATAACAAACATTTATTTAGAGCGTCTGAAAGAAACAACAAAAAGTGGCGACAGATAACCTACAAGCACCAATGTAAATATGAGCTTTTATGTGTAAGTGAGTAAGATTCAATATCCTTAATTAGCCTAGTTAAACTTGTTAGGTTAAGTTTAGTCATTAGTTGCTTTTTCGCCTGGTTTTCAGAAGCACGTGTAAAGTGCATGTTTAAGTGTGAGCGGATGTGTACTGCTCTTCCCTCAGGGTCCGTCCTCTCGGCCCTCCGGAGGTCTGCAGGAGACTTTCTGACGGAAGATGGCGCCCCGTGTATGTCCCTCAGAGAGAACGAGGACCAGCGGCAGCTCCTGTGCAAAGACCGCCGCAGCAAATTCAACATCAACACGTTCGGGCTCCGCTTCGGGAAACGGTACAACGGCTACATCTACAGGAGAGCTGTGAAAAGAGCCAGGAGAAATAAACTCTCACCCCTTCTTCTATTCTCGCGAGAAGTGGAGGTGCCTACCTGAAACAGATGTGAGTTATCCTCTGAGGACTTGTGTCCCATTGGTGGAATTCCAACATGTGACAAGAGTCTTTCCGCTTGTATGTGAAAATTGCATTTTTCTTGAGATAAAAAGATGTGTTTCTGTGAATACAACTTTTTTACCTACCTTAACTGTGAAATTATTTCTAAGAATCTGTCTAAATAAAAAGGTTTAATGGACTTGTATTATCAGGTGAAGATGTTCTTACTTTCACAATTAAAGTGCTCTATTCTATAATGCTCTCTTGTACATTTCTGCAGTTTTTTAATTAAACTACAGACAACACACGTTGTTCAGCAGCTACGTTGTGCATGATTCAATAGGCATCATTCATTACTTGTTTTGAAATACTATTGAATAGTTAAATAAACACATTACATTACATGTCATTTGTTAGACACATTACATTACGTGTGTATGAGATTATTCTGTGAAATTGAAATGTGATTTGGGACGATGTCGAAAATGTTGTCAAATTCACCCATCAATAGCATATTTACTATTGATAAACAAAAAGCTAGTGTTATATTTAAATCCAGAATTCTGTTCAAAACTAATTTCATTTTAAATTACAAAAAAAAGCGTAACTTCTTCTGGCTCAGTATCACAGAATTTTGTATCGATATCAGTACATTTTGAAATTGTATATTAATATCTTCCCTATTTATGATTCCCAAAATGTTATTTACCTAAATGTTTGGGATCAGTTATATTTTTTCCATTAATGTAGAAAAGCTTTTAAACAAGGATTGATCCTAAAGCTGGGAAGTAACTCTATAAAGGATTGATTGATATAATATCCCTATATGCATTCATTACTGTTGTTCTAAGCATAAATACATTTTATAATAAGCGTTTCTGTTGGAATGTACCTAATATTTTAAACATTATATGCGGTAAGCAATTGACGATTATTTGTTTAATCCATGTGATTTTATAGAAGCAACATATGTTTTCTTGTAATCGATTTATTCTCTGCACAGTTGTGCCTATTTTTATAATGAGTAAATTATTAATATCCTCAATGGCTGCATTATTAACAAAGGTACAACATAAAACAGACACACTTCTTTTCTTTAGGTTCAAATGTATTAAGTTAAACACAGGGTCAGACAGTAAAACAAAAAACTTGTGCTGGACATCCCCACTCCTCCCCCGCTGCTCCATCTCTCTTTGCTAACACTGAGGAAACAGGGGGGGGGGGGGGGAACCCACTTTCACATTTACAATGTCACAATTTCATTTCGGTAGGGTACCATTTTAAGACAAAGGTGCAAGGAAATAGGCGTCCTTTTGGATATTTGGGGTCTTTCATTAGAGGTTTATGGTCTTTCTCTTAGTGATTTCCTGCAGGGAGCTAAAGGAACGACTGTACGTGAGGGTACAAGGAGAGACTTCTTAAAGGGTTGTGCTTTATCCTACTCCAAACTGTTAACAGAGTACAGTAACACAGGTCGTTTTACATCTCTTAACACAGAAACAACTTCAGCTTAACTACTGGGGAGGAAATCTGTTAATTCAAAGGAGCATACCAGTGTTTTATTTTACTTACAATTGATTGACAGGAAGTTGATGACATTTTGCAGCACTGATGAAAACACTTAAATCACGCTGTATGATGAAAAACACTTGTATTCTCCTTCAAAATAAGAGAGACAGTCTAATGGGTGCGTATCAGCAGGCTTCTGAATCAAGGGTTTTGAGTGTGTGTGTGTGTGTGTTCAGACGTCCTTCAGGTCCTTCTGGATGCCCCACAGTGTGTCGGCGCTGTTCCTCAGCTGGCCCACCTCGGCGTCCGTCAGAGTCATGTTGATCACGCTGCTCACACCGCTGCTGTTCAGCACGCAGGGCAGAGACAGGAAGACCTCCTCCCCGATACCATACATGTCCTGAAAACACACACACACACACAAACACACAAACACACACACACACACACACACACACACACACACACACACACACACACACACACACACACACACACACAGAGTTAGGGTAGGGAGCATACATTGTGGGGAAATGGTGAAGTCAGTATACAAAGCACCCTGCAGTGAATGACACGTACAAGCTTAAAGACAGCTGTTTAAGAAAAATCATTCAATTTTGACAAGAGATAAGGAGTTCATTATTATCATAATTATTTACAAAATATTTGTAATTATTGTTTTTGTGTACATTTAAATGTTTTATTTGACCTTTTTATTGCACATTCTTACTTTAACTGATTGTGTTTATATACATATTTGAATTTGTTTTTATTTATTTTCTTTCATTCTAAACTAGAACAACAATCACAAAACCCCAAGTTCCCCTGATATATATAAATACATAAGTAAGATTGCTTTAGAATAAGAGATCTAAAAGTATTACAATAATAATTAGTTTCATGTGAATTGTTTTATATAACATGGGATTTTAGTATTTTTCAAAATTATACAAATTGGAAAATCTCAGTGAGAACTATTAAACATAGCGAGGAGCATAGATGAAGGTTGTGATCATTTGCTACAAGTCCAAACAACGACCAAGTAGGGTCCTGAAGACCCCATATCACTTGTACATTGTAATACCATTAGTGGCAAATAAGTTACGTAATAAGTACTGTGTTAAGGCATAGTATTATCTGAAATTATTAGGAAATGAAGGCCTTGTGTAAAACGTGCAATGTGAAATTAACAATTAACAAATTACAACAAAACAATGGTGGCTAATAGTTTAGCTAGCTTGCCCAATAATCCCATGTTTTGAGTGTGTGTATGTCCTGTGTGTCTGACCTTGACCATGGTGGAGACGGGATGGACGCGGCTCATGTTCTTGATGATGCTCTCAGTCAGGTCGGCCACACTGAGGCCGATGGCCCAGTTAGTGTAGCCCTTCAGCTTGATCACCTCGTAGGCACTGGAAACAAAGCAACACACGCTCAACATCTATACAGTAACCCTCTCAAAACTGTACGATCTGACAAGAACTTGTAAAGACACCTAATGGATGTCAAATCTATTTCATGGTCATATGACAAATATACAAATATAATTCTCTATTTTTGTAGATATCATACAACACAATCTATTGTAATTGTATTGCAAAAATATGTTATGCATTATATTCTGTAAGTAACTACATTACAATGTGTAATTTCAAGTCATCATGACTAAAGCATATATACCATTATACCATTTTTGACTTTCTTGTAAGCGTTTGAGCACCAGGAAAAGCGCTTTATAAATGTAATGTATTATTATTATTATTAGCACGTCTTATTATAAGTAGACTGTGGCCGTTTCTCAATGTCGAGTAAAGCTGCTCCAGAGCCACTATTTCAAGCATACTACGTCATCGAGTGGCGCCGAATCACTGTTTAAATGCCCAGCATACATGTGCTACCAAGCAAGCCTCCTCGACATTGAGAAACGGCCAGTAACTACCTCGATCGCTCAATACTAATCAATTGGTTATGCCATCATAAGATTTAATTACAAAGAGTAATGTCTGCTAACATAACCAGCTTATTACAATAGCTGTCTTTGATGCGCAGCCTGAGGTCTGCCAGGCTGTATCGACTGAAGCTGGCACTAACACATTGTGGTTAGAGGTTACATTCCCCCTGGGGCCACTTTATCCAAAAAGGGAATCACTCATGGCCTCAGATAACAGAAGCACTTACAGCTCTGCTGCTGATAGACATGATAAACAATGCAAAAATAATTCATTCTCAAGTACATGATAGCACTTAACAGCAGATTTAATCATTTGTAAACAAATTCAATGTTTTGGTTTCATGATTTATCTTCATAGTACAGCCTTGACATGATGCAGTCGTGGAAAAAAACTACAGACACTTAAAGGTGGGGTAGGTAATTTTGGAGAAACCAGCTCGAGTGCGCTAGAATTTGAAAATAAACAACCGGACAAAATCTGCCACTTCCTCACAGAGCCCCTCCTCCAACACACACGAATGCGCACATGACCAATGAGGGCACCAGATAAGTTTGTGCACAGATGGAAGGCTGACAGGCAGGTAGGCCATCCAGTTATTTTAGCCGGGCCGGCTAAAATGATTGGTCGTGCTTTTTACAGTGCTACGGCTTCCACAGATGACATTTTTTATGTATTTATTGTCAAAGCATTTAATATATTCATTGCTATCGGGATGTACCAGTTTAGCCCTGAGCCTGTTTTTCAGGTCTCAGGCTCGAAAATGACATTCCCAGAACAAATGACCATATCTTCCCTTCTAAAAGGGTTAGAATAATAATCGTTTTTCTCAAAGTAATGATAAACCTGTGAGTTGGATGTAGAAAAGTCAGAATCAATATAGATGTTTTTTATTTTAAAGAAAATTCAGATTGAACATAGTAAAAAACTGTAAATTATAGTGTCCGTCCACAAATTATGTTTTACTTACAGTGAAAACTACCCTTGGATGATGGTAAGAAGCTTTAGGAATCCAAAGTACAACATATAATAAGTACCCTGTATCAAGATTGATGCAAAACAAGTGACATTTGACCTTTTTAGAGAGGTTTAGCAAAAAAAAACTCCACCTCTGAGGTGATTTGGGTGGAAATGGGGGTTTTACCGTTTCTCTGGAACCCATTGGTCGATTTTGGTGATTGACATCTCTTTCTGACCGTTAGAGCCAATAGAATCGAAGGGGAATCTCCCCATACACACACATGGTACAACAAAAAGGTGGGGCTTCGTGTACCCAGTTTTGCTCCAGAGTGAAGCTGTCTCTAGGTCTGACATCTCAAAACCGAAAAGCAGATTTATTTCTCATGGATTATCAGAAATCATTCAAAGTGACACAGACACATTGGATTAACCTATGGATTAACTTCAGCATCGTTTTTTTTATCGTTTTAATGTCATTGAAGACCACTTTTGACCAGACTACAACAGAGGTGAGCCATGTTAGCGTTTCTAGCTAACTAGCTCCATATATTTTGATGTGTGTTCTTGTTATTATCTCCGAGAGTTCGTATAATTGAGTGAAAATGAAGAGTACCCCTCGATTCTGTGTCCCCTCACGATGTGAAACGATGT